ATTAATCCTGTCAGGTGATAAATTCACTGATTGTATTAAGGCTCTTATAATCATTTCTTCTCTGAATCTTCTTCCATTGTCTCACATATGAAATTTTGGGGGACACCTCACATCCAAAACAACATTCTACCATTGTCCCCCTAAAGGATACACTCTTCTGACAATCCAAAATACATTTAGTCCATTCCCAAGAGTCCCCATTGTTTCAACACTTTCAAAATTACTCAAAGTTCAAGCCCAAAGTCTTCTCTGAGGCTTAAAGCAATCTTGTAATGTGAGCTCCTATAAAATTAATAAAACAATTTACAATATCTAATATATAATTATACCCAGTAAATATGTCCATTCAGAAAAACGGGGACATAGAAAAAAAATGGATAAGACCAAAGCAAGACTAAAATCCAGCTTGGCCAACAAGTCCTGTAGTTCTGTATCTGGCATCTGGAGCACATGACATTATGATGTTCTCTATAAAGAGCTTGTGCAGATGCCCCCCCTTGGCCTTGTTGGTTGCAGCCCAAGTGGCCTTTCTGATGGCTTGTCTCTACTCAATTCTTACAGCTTTCCTATGATGATGTCCCCTGTTACTAGTATTTCTTAATCTCAGAGATCTCCACTGCAGCTTTGACTTTCTCTTCACATCTCCATGCTTTGCCCTCTCAGGGACTACCAGAAGGGAATCCAACACTGCTACACCTTGCCTGGCTTCCCAGGCCTTCCTTAGAAATCCTGGTGGAAGCCTCCATTACCCCATAACACTAATACAATGCATTCCTGCAGAACCAGCACTACATGGTTGATACCAAGGTCTGCCTTGATACTACAATCATTTTCCACTTCAGAACTATTGGAATTGTTTTAATCAGCTTTTTCACTGCTGGGACTAAAAGTCTAAGCCTCCAGGGACACTAGCTGCAGCAACCCCTGAGTTCCTGGGTGGCTGAGCATGTTGTAAAAACTTCCTAGTCACCCTTGTGCAAAAGGGTACCCAATTGGTCCATTCTCAAGAAAATTTTTACTTTTACTTTCTTGAATCTGAGATGGCTATAGTCTTGCCAGCTCCTGAGATGCCTTCAAGCCATCTTTCTCATTATCTTTGGGCAAAATTTTAAGCATTTCTTAGAGGTGATAATGTCTTTAAAAACTGCAACTTCCTTGGCCCCAGTTTTATTCCTGTATTTCAAATCCAAGTTTTTCAAATCTTTCTGCTCTGCTTTCTGCTTCTGATTATCACAACAAATTTGGGTAAAAGCTGCCAGAAATATCCACTCCACCACCTAAATGCTATGCAGCCTAGACATTTCTTCTGCCAGATTAAGAAGTTTATCACTTTTAAAATCAGCTTCACAGAAAGTCTCAGGACAAGGGCAAAATGCAGACAACTTCTCAGCCATAACATAACACAAATGGCCTCTACTCCAAATTCCAATACAGTCCTCCTTTTCTCAACCTTCTTGAGCCCTTTCTTCACTGTCCACAGTCCTTTTGGCATTCTGGTCTTCTGAGATCCCACCAGAATCAGGCATTAATCTCTGTTTCCAACAATATAAAGCATTTCCACCTTTCACTGCTATACATCTAAAAATTCCTCCCACCAATTCCAAAGAGTTCCAGATGCTTATGAACCACATGGTCTGTATATTCACAGATATGAGCCCTCTCCTGGTACCAATTTCTGTATTAGTCAGGGTTCCCTAGAGGAACAGAATCAGTTGGAAGTATAATTGTAAAAAGGGGAATTATTTGATTGGCTTACACAACCAGAAACTCGATAGTCTGCAATGGCTATCTGTAATCTGCAGAGATGGAAGATCTTGTAGCTGCATAGTCCAAGACACTGACACCTCAGAACAAGAGGGATCAACAATGCTACCCTAGCCTGAGACCAAAGGCTTTTGGAAAGTCCTTGGAGAATCATTGGCTTTGGAAGAGGGAAGGAGTAAGTCTGATATCCTGAGGTGATCTAATCAGCAAATGAGAACTCATTCAAGAAGAATCCAACTTAAATCTGGTGCTGCTTCATTCTTCCTCCAACTTTCATTCCATCTAAGCCATCATCCTATTGGACAGTGCTACCCACACTTAGGGAGGAGCTCCAATTTAGTTCCCTATCCCACATACAAATCATTCCTAAACACACCCTCATTTACATGCCCAGAAGACTCTTTGTGTGTGTGTGTGTGTGTGTATGTGTGTGTGTGGTGCTGGGAATTGAACCCAGGGCCTTGTGCAAGCAAGATAAGCACTCTACCAACTGAGCTATATCCCCAGCCCACTCAGAAGCCTCTTAATCTTTGGCATCTCTCAATCCAACCACATTGACAATTCAAATTAACCATTATAGAATTATAGAAAATGTTTTTAATAAATTTAATTACTTATTAATATATTGTTTGAACTCAAGATTTACTCTTAAATGTGATCATCATCTACCCTCAAAATGGGTGGATGAAGTTGATCAAAGCACACTGAACACATTGACTGGGTTCTTTGACACAAAGTTTTACCACTCTCTCAAGACACATAGTAAAGTGAAAGTATCCTATCAAAGACAATTTACTGTCATTTATAACTAAAAATAACCAAAAAAATGAAATATAATAAATTAAAATAATATAAAAGGGTTATTCAGACAACAGTGGGAAAGAGATCCATTTCAGCAGATATGCAATTCTCAATATAGAAATACAGGAAACATGAGAAATCAAGGAAAGAAGATGATTGATGATTCCAAATTTGACAATAAACCAATAGATGAATCCACATATTCAAATGGATCACATAAGAGACAAATAATTCAAAAAGTTGAGGGTTAAAATGAACAGTGAACTAAAAGAAATCTGAGCAATGAACTGAGAGAGATTATACATTAAGTAAAAGTTTACTTCAATAAAAAGAGATTCTGAAAAAAAAATCCTAAAAGTGAAAGATTCAATACACCATTTAAAAAATTTAGTATAAAATACCACTAATAGATAAGACCACATAGCGGGTAGATTTTTAGGCTTTTTAAGACAAGGTATGTGATCTTGAAAACTCAATCAGCACTAAAGACAAAAAGAAACCATGATCAGAATTTCAGGAATTATGGGACAACTTTAAAAGAAGAAAACCTGGGAATCATTTGAATTAAACAGGATTCTGAGATATAAGCTAAGGGCATAGATACACTTTCCAGTGAAAGAATATAAGAAAATTTTCCAAACCTTGGGGATTTGACAGACATCCACATACAGGAGGCTTTCAGAAACAAAATAGATAATATAAAAAAAATTAAAAATAAACAATTTCTCCATGATACTTTATAAACAAAATGCCTAATATACAGAGGAAAAATAGATTTTTGACAGCCCAAAAGTAAAACTTCATGTCACAGAGATAAGCCAATAAGAATAATGGCTTATTTTCTGTCCCAGTGTACTTCTTTATTTTTGATCACCATGTGTTTTAGATAAATATTAAATTGTGTCTTTTTCCTGTTCATCAAACATATTTTATTCTCTTGCCTCTAAAACACCTCAAGAGTCTAGACAAAGCCAGTCATGGTGGTGCATTCTTGTAATCCCCATGGCTCAGGAGGTTGGGACAAGAGGTTCTCAAGTAGAAACCAGTCTCAGCAATGCAGCAAGGCCCTAAGGAACTTAATGAGACCCTTTCTCAAAATAAAAAATAAAAAGTAGCTGGAGATATGGTTCAGTGATTAACCCCTGGGGTCAATCCTGGTACTAAAAAATAAAAAAGGAAAAAAATGAAAAAGTGTCTAGACCAAGAGACCAGACATCCTGTACAATCACAAAAGCAGCCTCTGATAAACAACACAAACATCTTCCATTATATTAAATCTCAACAGTCAAAGCCATAAATACTTCTCTATATTTAGTAACACAAATCCTATGTTAAATATATACTTTTTAGTTAGATTCACTTGGTTTTCTAAAAGGCATGCCTGGATGATTTTAATAAAAATTCCCTTGCATCATAGAAGAATAATGATTTAGAGTCATGAGAAGAGAATAATCTTTTGCAAGGCATAAAACAAACAGATAGAAAGCTATCTTTCTTAAAAGCCTTGTATCTGGTCATTTCTATGCTGTGCACCTTAAGTTTTTATTCCTACTATTAAGAATGTAGGACCAGAAGTCAGGAAGCCTGGTTTTAATGTTAGTTTTAACATTTACATTATGGGCAAGACTGTCAGTATCTATGAGAGCTTGGGAGTCAGATAGGTTGGAATCAGTCCTGGCACTTTGTGAATCTTTGAAAATTTACTTAACATCTTTTTGCAATCAAAACACTGTCTGATCTACATCCACCCTTCTCTCCCTAATGTCACATCACACTGCAGTATTCTCACCTTTGCTCATTCATAATACCTCCTGCTTGACTCTCTAACCCACTGGGCACACTCTAAACTCAGAATCTTTACATATGATATTTCTCTTCCACAGAATTACTTTTCCTCCACAGTTTTACAGGTTATCCCATGAGTTCTTCAGGGCTATGTTGAAATATTTACATTCCTGTGAAGCCTACCTTATTTAAAGGATTTAGAACTTTATCCCATTTTGCCCAATCCCAATATTCCTATCTTACTTCCTAGCTTTCAATTTTATATCACAGTAGCTAATATCATTGAATATTTTCCATATTTTACTTATTAATTTCTTATTGTCAGTCTCTTCTGATGAGAATGTAAGCTCCATAGTGTCAGGAACTGTCATCTTCTTTGTTTACTACTGGGTCCCCAGCAGTTAAAATGCCTGGCATGTAGAAAATTTTCAATAAGTACTTACTGAACAAATTAATATACAATAAAATTATGAGACAGTTTTTATTGGTTCTTGGTAGCAAGATTTTTATGCATGATTTCATTGTATCCATAGTGTTAGATCTTTTAAACTTTGAGACTGTGTGCAATGCTAACTGGTCTGTAAGTGCAATGTTGCAGCAACAGCCGTAACTACATATAAAAAGTGTTGATCAGAAACAAACTCACATACCCAGAGAAAAAATTTCCCAAAGCAGAACTCCAAAGGACCACACATCGCTCTGGGTTGTATACACCTTGTCAAAAATGGCTTCAGGTGCCATCCACTTAAGTGGGAGTTTTGCCTAAAAAAAAAACAAGATAGAAGAAAACCCTCAGAATAGAGACTATAACCCCATTAGAGGCAAGAGTAGTTGTCTGGTGTTTCATGCCAGGGAACTTTGAACTTACATCTCCTTTCCAGACATAGTCAGGGTCTTTGTAGATGTCTCTGGCCAAACCAAAGTCACAGATCTTTACAACATTGTTATCTGCTAGAAGGATGTTCCTAGCAGCCAAGTCTCGATGAATGCACTAAAGAAAAAAGAAGAAGGTGGCTCTTAGGGCTTTGGGGCCCTAGGATGGTACAGATTAAAAGACTTTCAACCAAAAAAAAAAAAAGAAGAAGAAGTGGAAATTGAGCATGGAGTTGAAAACGAATGGGAAACCAGAAAAAGGAAGTTTCACAGAGGTGCCCAGCCCCAGAAAACAAAGTACCTTACACAGATAAATTGATCCATCTGGAAATTGGCAGGGTAGGCAGAATCTATACTAGAATGATAACACCTGTTTAACTCTTACATATTTTGTTCTTTGGACTCTCATTGACTATCTTACCTTAGAAAAGGTCCACTCCCTCCTACTGTATTTCACTGTTAGTGCCCTGAATTACAATAGATCTTATTTTATCTCATTTGAACAACACCAATGGTTACTTAACTGTTCTCTCTGCTTTCATTCTAGCCACATGGACTACTCCATCACCCATTCTAGCTATCAAAATTTAATTCCCAAGAAACAAATCTAATCATGTAAAATGCCTGTTTAGAAGCTTTTTATTTTACAGTAACTGGAAACCATTTAAGTTCATATTCCTTGGCATGGCATTCAAAACCTTTTACAGTCTATGTCAAGCTTTGTATTCAGCTACATCTTCCTCCTGCCACATTTACCTCCTTGAATCCTATATACCTTAAACTTTCCATTTCTTTATTATACTGCTGAAATATAACTTTCTCTTAGAAACCTTCACAGATTCTCCAGGACTACTCCTATGTAATCACAAAGCATTTATTTCATATTTCTATCCTAGACAATATCCTGTTATATTATATGTAGTATGTCTTTCTTATTGGATTCTGAGGAAGGAGAACTGCATCTTTCATGTCTGTATCTCAGCTTTTAGCAGAAAGAACATTACAGACAATCACCATATATTTGCTGAATAAATTCATTTTCAGTATAAAATAATGTGCATAATTCACAGGTCTAAATAATCCTAATCTAGCAACCTTCTAAATTAGTTTGAAAAGCAAGTCCCCCAAAACTGTAGGAAGGCAGGTGAGTAGCTGTCTCAAAGGTGAATGCTTGTATGCATATTTTTCAAAGACTAATTGGAGAGAGAAAATTGGAACACAAGTATAAGGTAAGACTATTAAAAAAGAAAAACAGCTACCACGGACACTGTGGTCATTATAATCCATCTTCCTTGAATCTCCAATCAATGGAAGTGAAGGAAGAAGAATAATGAATGCTCACTTTTCTGGAAGCAAGGAACTCCATTCCTTTGGCTACTTGGAAGCTATAGCAGATGAGGTCCTCTAAGGTAAGGGGATGCTTGAAGAGGTCATCTGAGAATAGGAAGAACAGAGAATATTACAGATGGCCAAGAGTTGAAGAATGTCCCATAATCCTGGATAGGTAATCATAAGGTAGAGGAAAGACACCTTATTTCCATGAAACCATAGAGAACAAGGGACAATTTTTTTGACAACAGGCCTTGGTATGACTTACTCCACTAGGATAATATGTGCATTTTTAAGTAATTGATTCAAATCCTTGTGAAGGAAAAGAATCTAAAATTGTGTCTCCGTTGATTTAACAGCTCATACCTTAAACGTTCTGTTGAAAGTTCTTTTGAAATACAGGTCTGTCTTTCAAAAACTAATAAGTGGTTTATTGATATTCCCTTGCCTCTTCTGAGTACAAGAGAATGTAGATGATTTTTAGAGGCAAAGTTTGGGAATCTCCAGTAAATATCCATGATTAATAGTGACAACAGGACTGGATTTTTATAATCAGAATGTTTACTTGTCATGTATATTCCCTATTTATTGCTTGTTTGCCCTTCTCTTCATTTTTCTTAAAACATACAAAGTTCAAAGAAATTTCTTCTGCTCTTCCTGATGTTATGCCATCCCCAAAGTATAATTAGGAGGTCCTTTATAATGATTCTAGACCAATTCCTTCCATCATTTCACAGGAAGGGAAACTGAGACCTATAAAAGAGATGTGGCTTCTTCAAGGTAATAAGACACAGATCAAAGGATTCTCAAGAAAGTGAAAATTACTTCATTTCTATAAGCCAGATAGATACTACACATGAAGGTCTATTTCTGACCAACAGGAAAATAAAAGAACATAGGATGGCTAAGAGCACAACCACCTTGGGAATATCATAAGTAGCACTTAATGTAATAGGCAGAAACCTCAGGTAGAACAAGAGTAATGTCACTCAAGGTCAATGCCTAAGTCTGACAGTTTTGACTGGAATGTTGGGTAAAATAAGAATAGGTGGGATGCCTGAGTTCAATTTGTTTTTTTATAAATATTTATTTATTCCATTTTGGAAAATCTATTATATATTTGTATAGCTCTAATAGTTGTTTATTCTTGAAATATTTTCACATTGCTTGGAAACAGCTATATCCCAAGATACCCAAGTTACTCCGACACTCCAGTTACTTCTTTCCTGTCCAAACTTTTCCATGATTCAGCAACTAAAGGGTATATCCCAGCCCATGGATACACTAGGTATCTATTTATATTAGTCTCTATTTTAGAAAATATCTTAAGGTCTGTTAATCATATGTTGTGTTTTATACACTAATATTTTGTAAAGTCATCCACATTATTTGTTAATAATTAAGTACATATTATACAGTTTGAGATGGAGTTAATATAGGTTAATATTTTTATATCATCCCTACTTTGAGTAATAGTACTCCTCTGTTATGAGAATAAGCACCTCTAACCATGTCATGGGAAAGATGGAGGAAAACCTTCATGCAAAAATGATTTGGAAACTGTACATGTCTAAGACATTATGGGATATCATCATTATAAGATACTTCTGATTGCTAATTTAAGTGCAAGTTCAGCATAAAGCAAAAGTCCTCTATGCTAGATAGAAATGGCTACAGAAAAATGGTATGGGATTGCCTGGTCTTGCTGATTAGGCCTCATTTACCCACTGACTCCTTACTTTATACCCTCATTAGCCTTGAGGTTTTGCCATAATGAAAGGGTCTACTTGTACTTACCTACATGGTGGGTTGTTGTGGCCCCCAGAAGGTAGCAGCTAGCTTCTTCCTCCTCATCAGATTCACTGTAACTCTTGTCTTCTATAAAACCAGAACTGATGGAACTTCCTGTGCTAGCCACATTCTGCAGATGATTCTTAGTTAGCTCAGTGAGATCACTGTCAGAATCATGAATAGTCTTCACCTTTTTTCCCATATTGAGCTGGGACTGAGAATTTAAACAGATCATCAGTGTTTGAAAAGAACTTATGAATCATCCAATTCAATTTATTCTATTTTCATCAGAGAAGCTGAGAACCAGAGAGGTATAAAAGAGTTCTGCGAGTTCACATAATTTGAGAGCAAAGCTGAGAGTGATGACTGCTAATCTAAAATTCTATTTTCTATATCAAAATGCCAGGTAGTTTATCCTTACTGGGAGGAAATTGCTGAGAGTTGACCATCTGAGTGTGTTACCTTGCCATGGAATTCAGCAAGCCTGCATAGGACAAGGATATCTCATAACCAGGGGTAGTTCAAAGGGTGTCAAATTATTATTTTCCTATGCTCAGAAATTGGGCAAATAGAAGGGAGCCAGGTCTGTTTTAAAATTATGATTACTTCCTTTCCATTTGCTAAAGTTAGACTGAGATGGAACTCATTGATGAAAATAATAAATTGCTAGCTAAGTTCAGAGTTCCCAATCAGTTGGATGGATTCTAGAAGTTATTTTATTAATTAATATCCAATATCAAAAAATTTCAAAATAAATCACAACATAATAATCAGGTACAACACTTTGCAGTACTTTGTGAAGCAGAGACAACCAGCTTTTCTCTGGGAAGACAAGGACAGTTGCAACATGTATATCTTGGGACAATAAAAAAGTGCTAACATGAGATATATGTCTTTAACTATTTCCTTAATGGTGGAAGTTATCCAAAATACAGAGCTTCATCCCAGATTTCAAAGAAATAGAGAGCTCCAGCATGTCTATGAAAGCCTAAAGGCATAATGGAATCTTGGCATACCTCACCAATTTGGGCCTCAGAATATAAGAGAATTACACACACAAAAGTTATAATTTCAGCTAATGACAGAATTCTGAGTGCCAGTTTCAAAGCAACATCAGTGGAAGTGATTCTAGAGGTAATTTAATTCAAATCTTTATTGGATGCATAAGTGTACATACTAGTATCCCTGATAAATAATCCCCCAGCCTCTGCTATCCCCTTCTCCCTCTTTCTATGTATCATCATAAAATCTCCAGAGAAGACTCAAAACGTGGAATAGAATGTGGGGTTCAGTTGGAGAAACCTACCTTGGAAGCAATAAAATCTCCTCTCTTCCCTCTCAGAAAATTAGCTAGGTTTCCATATCTGCAGAATTCTACTATGATCATCAAAGGACCTGCCAAAAGTAATATCTATAGTCATCTTTTCATGAAAGATAGTAAAAGTTAGCCAACTCTTAGGCTACTCTGACCTTGGTAACCTGTTGGACATGGAATATCCTAAAATTTCATTAAATCTCTTTAGTTGTAAACTAGTTGATGGATAACTTGAGCTGGATACAATGGTGACTGACCTCAAAGACATGCCGGCTGCTGAAAGATGAAAAAGTGAGATTGTCAAATAGGGGAAAATAAGGTTAATAATCCTGCTGAGCTTACCTGTGAAGTTCCCTAAGATGTACAGCATGAAATATGAAAGAATTAATAGGACAGTTTACACTCCAATGACCAAGGCAAATGTGAACACAACTCATTGGATATTTTAGGCATTATATTACCTTTCCCACTTTATATATTGTTGTCCCAACCCCACCATCATTTTATTGATAAAATTTATTCTAAAAGGTTCACTCAATGGACTAAATTTTTTTTTGCAGTTTGCTCATGGCTTTCAAGTTTATTTGCATTTGCCTTGATGTGTATTTTATTCATATTTATTTCAGTAGCACAGCTCTCCTCTAACATCCTTAGGGAAGACCCTAGCTAAAATCAGTGGGTGCTTAGAAAATGCTGTTTGAAATAAAGGGAAGTGAAAGGACAGTGCAGTAGAATTCTCATAGGGGAAGAAAAAAAATGTTTTAGATTTAGTGTAGAGAAGAAATATGTAAATGGACAGGGCATGGAAATATGCTTGTTGAAAAAGTGGGTGAAACCCTCCTCAGGCTATGGTAGTAGGTACACTGAAGGTAAGATAGATGACTAAAGAAGTCTAGAAAGTACAATGTCTTGAACAGATTTTCACATTTCCTTGGCAAATTCTCTCCAACGATCCTGTCCAAGATCAGATACAATGTTGAGCTAGCAGGAATCTTAGACATAAACTCAATTTCTTTGTATATTGTAAAGACTTCCCTAGAGCAGGGGGCTGAGAACATGAGTTCTGGAGATCCTATGAAATGTGATAAGTCTATAAGTTATAAGAACCTCACATGCAATTCAGGTAGTCATCTAAATCAGGGACTACCTTGCTTCTGAGCATATAACCTCTAGGAAAGAGATCTGTCTAGCTATGAAAGTCTTCTTACCTCCAGGCTTAGTGCAGGCACCCAGTAAGTTGACCACATTGAGGTGGTGACCAATGTGAATGAGGATCTTCAGCTCTGACATTAAAGCCTTACACTCGTTGGATGTTGCACAATCTGTTTGAGATAAACACAATAATCATACAAAAGGAATTTTTTTGTCCCTAAGAGTAATGGTGGAGCATATGAAATACAACTTCCTGGTAAAGGAATTCTGGCAGAAAAGTCTGGAACACAACTACTCAGATATTGGTTTGTTGTCCTTTCCAAACAATATTTTAAACAAATAATACCTTTGTAGCATGTCCTAATTTGCCTCTACTCTGAGCTCTATGCAGTATTAGCCTCAATAACTTTTCTGATTTTTCATTTTGAAACAGGTACTCTTGGAATATAATCCTTTATGTGATAAACATTTTATCAATTAATGTACTATAAGAGGTAATGAGTTAATTGGCCCAGATTGTTCTAAATATTGATTTATGTGGACATGTGGAATCAGAGGCATGTATTGGATAGTATTCAAATGTTTAGACACATGTTTATCCATTCAAGAATTAAAACACACCATAACTGATGCATCATGACCAGTGGAGAATTCACTTGGATTTATATTCAAGTATATATGATATCATATAATTCCACTGATACATTGAGATTCTGGTATCCAATACCATTAAGGACTTATACTGATATTACCAGCAATTAAAAATATCAGGTCATAAACCAAATGCTGAATGTTTTCCTTGATATAAGGAAGCCGATTCATAGTGGGATAGTGAAGGGGAGCATGGGAGGAATAGAGGAACTCTAGATAGGGCAGAGGGGAAGGAGGGGAAAGGAGGGGGCTTGGGGTAATTAATGATGGTTGAATGTGATGATCGTTATTATCCAAAGTACATGTATGAAGACACAAATTGGTGTGCGTATACTATGTATACAACCAGAGATATGAAAAATTGAGCTCTATATATGTAATGAGAGTTGTAATGCATTCCATTGTTATATATAAATAAAAATATATATCAGGTCATTACTTCTGCATTTAAGTTGTTGTATGCAAGGGAGATAAGCAGGTTGTCATACAAGTTTCCACAATGACTGGTCATACTTATGTGGCTGCTATTTTTCATGAACATGAAGATGGAATGATGGTAGAAGCTGTATTTATTTACCTCCTTTACTTCTAGTTCATGTCTTTTACAGTACAGTTTTCTACCTGTCCCCAAAGTATACCTATAGATGTTCCTCAATGGCTTCCAAAGCATTAGAAATATTACCTTTTAGCATCTTCACTGCCACTGTTTTACAGGTTGAAGCTTTGTCGATGCCAAAGGCACAAGCTTCTATCACTTTACCAAAGGCACCATGGCCCAGGATTTTGCCTGAGGGGGACAAGAAGTAAAAATTAGAAATTTTGAAAGACCTCAGAAAGAAGTGCACATTTGAGTTCTTGTAACGAATACCAGCATCCCAAAGACAAAGCATTCACAGGGAGGTTTTGCAGACCACCCTATGTAAAATTATAATGCTGTTCTTCTCCTCAATTTTCCTCTATAACACTTAACTACTAGATAATGTTATATTTATTTATCATTTATTATTGTATCTATTATTAATCTACCACACTAGAATGTAAGTTCAATGAAGACTTTCTTGTTAATAACTATATACTCAGCAGCTAGGATAATGTTTTAATACATAGTAGATACCTAGCAAATATGTGTGTATGAAGCAAGCGAATGAAAGGTTATACCACATCAGCCATGGAGACAAAGAACTTTGTGGGTTGAGGAAGATCCATAATGGCCTACAGACACATAGTAGTTCAGTAGGTAAAAGTGTTATATACATTTTAAACGTTGTAAGTCTCCTAGTAATATACTTCATTAGTAATCACATTAGCTACTGATATTCATGATATAAGTTTGTAGTCATTCAAGTGCAATTATTTATGGAAAAGACTCTGTGCTTCCTATAGCCCAAGAAATTTTTGTTGAAGAGATTCTAATTAAAACCAATCCCTATCATTTGTGAAGTACTTTAAATTTGTAAGACATATTGGCAAATGTTCTCACACTGAATTCCCACAAAAGTGATGGAATGTAAGAAAATACACATCAGTCCTAATGTCTCCCTTTTATAAATGAGAAAAACATGTCTTACAGAAGTTAAGGGACTTGTCTTCTCTAAGATTACCCAGATTGTACATCTAAAATCTTTTAGTTGCATGTTATATGTACAATACAATTCTGCTACCCTAATTTCTAATTTTTTTACTATCACCACATTTAAAAAAAATATATCCAATTTTCTAGACCAATCATGAATGAGGTTGAATAGTATTGCATACAATAATCTAAGTGCAACCTAGATTTTAGTGAAAGAAATTGGTACATACCCAACTGTAACCGGTCCCGAGGAAATTCCCATTTGCTGTCATCATAGGGAAGCCTGTCACATTGTTGATCAAGGGGCATTTCTCTAGGATCCACAATGATGGAAAGGTAGCTTGTTTTGATTTCTGAAACACTGGGCTGCAGAAAGTAAAGGGGGAAAACACCTTACTCTGTTTTATTTCTCTTCTGATGTGGTATAAGGCTTCTGAAGTTCACCATTTTACATCATAAAGAGTCTCATATAGTAAGAAATATATACAAAAAAGTAAAGATAAGAAAAAGCACAATAAGAACACAATTAAAATTAAATTGACAATTTGGGAAAACAGTTGCAACAAACCTAACATATAAGGGATAATACTCATGTAGGGCACAGACGGAAGGCAGAGCCACACGGGCGCTCAACGCAGACAGAAGGTGGAACAGAATGCAGAGAGTTTGCTTGCGGGTCACCAGACTGAGCTCTGGACAAAGCACAAGGTCTCCTCAGCACCCCCCACCTCACCAAACATCCTACGTGAGAAACATACGGAATCCATTTTGGAAAACCTTACTCACCATTAATCAGTGGGCATGGCTACCAGCACGGTTCTGCCTCTGATCAGGTACCTGGTTTCCAACTCCCCCACCCCCAGTTGTGATAACTCAAATTTTTTCTCACAAGCTTTTGGAGGGTGTAGCTATCAATGCAGAACAGCAACTGTACAAGCACCTGATTTCCATCTCAGAGACTAAGAGTAGGGAGGCTCCAGGTGGAAGCTCAAGTCCTCTCACTCTGGCTACCTGACCACCCTCAATGCAGAGACTCAAGCTACAAATAGACAATTCCACATACTGGAAAAAAAAAAAAAAAACAGAGTTCTGAGAGACCTTTTTTTTTTTTTCTTTTTGCTTTTTGCTTTCTCTTCTTCTCTCTCCCTTCTCATCCATTCTCCTCTACCCTTCCCACTCTGGTCCTCTCAAACTCAACATATGTGAAACCAAGAACTTTGCATGAAATAGTACTTAAACAACTGAATCACTAGAATAATATAATATAGAGGAATTGCATATGCCCCACCTTCCTCCCCTTTTTTTCTTCTTATTTTCTTTCTCCCTCTCTCTTTTACTTTCTTTCCTTATTAATTTTTTTCCTTCTTCCTCCCTCTACCCCACTTTCAACCCCCTAACTTCTACAAGTTATATGCAGGGTAATTTTCTAAATACAGATAGGAGTTTGAATTTATACATTCTTCCATAAATTACCCCTGTCTATTCATTAGAGTTCTCCTTCAAAGTTGCTAAGTTAGATTAAACCCATGACCTCACTCCTTCCCCCCTTAACATAACATCCTATGCGTAACCTTCAGTTCTTTATATGCCATCAGAAATGGTATGCCTTTTATGAAACTAATAACTATATTTTAAATAATAATTGAAGCCAACATCTGTAGACATAGAGTCTAACTATAAATGTATTAATAATGAAAACTTGCACATAGATGATGTACTATTGATATTGGGAACTTATAACATTGTTTTTCTCCACAAAATAAAGTTTTTGGAACTGTACAAGAGTAATATAAATATATAGGGGAAAAACATTAATGTAACATTTACACAAAGCTGGAAAGAAATGTGAGCAGTATGAAAAGACAAGGAAAGAAAGGACCACAAACAATGCAGGTCAATTCAACATTAGAAGAGGTAAAATCTGAAGCAAAAGGAATGTCAGACAAAGATTTCAGGATATACATGCTTCAGATGATCCAGAGTCTCAAGGAAGACATTAGACAACAAATTCAGACAATGAAAGATCACTTTGACAATGAATTACATAAACAAATCCAAAAAGCAAAAGATCAACTCTACAGGGAGATAGAGGTTATACAAAAAAAAAAAAAAAAAAAAAAAAAAAAAMAGAAATCCTGGAAATGAAGAAAATAATAAACCAAAACTCAAATGAGAGTATTACCAGCAGAGTAGAACACGTAGAAGATAGAACATCAGATAACGAAGACAAAGAATATCATCTCGAAAAGAATGTATACAGCTCAGCGAGACTGATAATAAACAATGAGCAGAACATCCAAGAAATATGGGATAGCATAAAGAGACCAAATTTAAGAGATATTGGGATACAGGAAGGTATAGAGGTCCAAACCAAAGGAATGAACAATCTGTTCAATGAAATAATATTAGGAAACTCCCAGACTTGAAGAATGAAACAGAAATCCAAATCCTAGAAGCCTACAGGACGCCCAATGAGCAAAATCACAAGAGATCCACACCAAGACACATTATAATAAAGATGCCCAACATACAGAATAAGGAGAGAATTTGAAAAGCCACAAGAGAAAGGAAGCAGATTACATTTAGGGGTAAACCAATCAGGTTAATGGCTGATCTTTCAACACAGACTCTGAAAGCTAGAAGATCCTGGAACAACATATTGCAAATGCTGAAAGATAATGGGTACCAACCAAGAATCTTGTATCCAGCAAAATTAAGCTTCAGGATTGAAGATGAAATAAAAACCTTCCACGATAAACAAAAGTTAAAAGAATTTGCAACTAGAAAACCAGCGCTTCAAAACATCCTTGGCAAAACATTACATGAAGAGTAAATGAAAAATAGCAATGAAAACCAACAGTGGGAGGTAGTACAGTAAAGAAAAAAACTAATCAAAGAGGAAAAAAAAAATCATGTTAAATAATGAAAATAAACAAATATGGCTGGAAGTACAAACCATATCTCAATAGTAACCCTAAATGTTAATGGCTTAAACTCACCAATCAAAAGACATAGGCTAATAGATTGGATTAAAAAAGATCCAACAATATGCTGCCTACAGGAGACTCATCTGATATGAAAAAACATACACAGACTGAAGGTGAAAGGATGGGAAAAATCATACCACTCACATGGACCACAGAGGCAAGCAGGGTTATCCATATTCATATCAAATACAATAGACTTCAAGCCAAAATTAATCAAAAGGGATAAAAAATGACACTACATACTGATCAAGGGAATGATACACCAACAAGACATAACAATCATAAGTATATATGCCCCAAACAATGGTGCAGCTATGTTCATCAAACAAACTCTTTTCAATTTCAAGAGTCAAAGAGACCACAACACAATAATCATGGGTGATTTTAACACACCTCTCTCACCACTGGACAGATCTTCCAAACAAAAGTTGAATAAAGAAACTATATAACTCAACAACACAATTAATACCTTAGGCTTAATTGACATATATAGAATATACCACCCTACATGAAGCAGATACACTTTTTTCTCAGCAGCACATGGATCCTTCTCAAAAATAGACCATATATTATGTCACATGGCAACTCTTAGCAAATACAAAGGAGTAGAGATACTACCATGCATTTTATCTGATCATAATGGAATGAAATTGGAAATCAATGATAAAATAAGGAAGAAAAATTCCTACATCACATGGAGAATGAACAATATGCTACTGAATGAACAATGGTTTACAGAAGACATCAAGGAGGAAATTGAAAAATTCTTAGAGGTAAATGAAAACTCAGACACAACATGTCGAAATCTCTACGACACTATGAAAGCAGTACTAAGAGGAAAATTCATTTCATGGAATTCACTCCTTAAAAGAAGAAAAAGACAACAAATAAATGACCTCATGCTACATTTCAAAGCCCTATAAAAAAGAACAAATCAGCAGCAAAAGCAGTAGAAGGCAAGAAATAATTAAAATCAAAGCTAAAATCAATGAAATCATAACAAAAGAAACAATTGAAAAAATTGAAAAACTAAAAGTTGGTTCTTTGAAAAAAATAAATAAGATCGACAGACCCTTAGCCATGCTAATGAAGAGAAGAAGAGAGAGAACCCAAATTACTAGCATACAGGGTGACAAAGGCAATATCACAACAGACACTTCAGAAATACAGAAGATAATTAAAAATCATTTTGAAACCTTACACTCTAGTAAAATAAAGGATAGTGAATGCATTGATAAATTCCTTAAGTTATATGATCTGCTCAGATTGATTCAGGAGTATATATACACAATTTAAATAGACCAATATAAAGTGAGGAAATACAAGAAGCCATCAAAAGATTACCAATAAAGAAAAGCCCAGGACTGGATGGATATACAACAGAGTTTTAAAAGACCTTTAAAGAAGAACTAATACCAATACTCTTCAATGTATTTCAATAGAAAAAGAGGGAGTACTTCCAAATTAATTCTACAAGGCCAACATCATCCTGATTCCAAAACCAGACAAAGACACTTCAAAGAAAGAAAACTTCAGACCAATATCTCTAATAAATATAGATGCAAAAATCCTCAATAAAATTCTGGCAAATCAGATAGAAAAACATATCAAAAAGGTCATGCACCATGATCAAGTGGGATTCATCTCAGGGATGCAAGGCTGGTTCAATACATGGAAATCAATAAATATAATTCACCACATCAATGGACTTAAAGATAAGAAACATATGATCATCTTGATAGACACAGAAAAAGCATTTGACAAAATGCTGTGCATCACTTTATGTTCAAAACACTAGAAAAACTAGAGATAACAGGAACTTACCTCAACATTGTAAAAGCTATCTATGCTAAGCCTAAGGCCAGCATCATTCTAAATGGAGAAAAATTGAAGGTATTCCCTCGTAAATCTGGAACAAGACAGGAATGCCCTCTCACACCACTTCTATTCAATATAGTTCTGGAAGCACTAGCCAGAGCAAATAGACAGACAAAAGAAATTAAACATATAACTATAGGAAAAGAACAACTTAAACTAGCACTTTTTGATGATGATATGATCCTATACCTAGCAGACCCAAAAGGTAATACCAAGAAAATTCTAGAACTAGTACATGAATACAGAAAAGTGGCAGGATATAAAATCAACACCCATAAATCAAAGGCATTCCTGTATACCAGTGACAAATCTTCTGAAATGGAAATGAGGAAAACTAACCCATTCACAATATCCTCAAAAAAAAAAAAAATACTTGGGAATCAACTTAACAAAAGAGGTGAAAGATCTATACAATGAAAACTACAGAACCCTAAAGAGAGAAATAGAAGAAGACCTTAGAAGATGAAAAAATATACCTTGCTCATGGATAAGTAGAATTAA